ATAAAGTTTTATATCCCAGAGATCACATACAGAAGCTTTGAACCAAGACCTTTCAGGACTCAGTTAACGCAAACCCTGTTAAGGACAGAAAACCCCCCCACCCTGTCTAGATTAATGTCTAGATGGACAAGAGAGCATTGTAGGAACTCTTCTCAATACACAAACCCTACCAGCACGCAGGAAGAAGACTGGACTAGAGCCAAAGTACAAATAAACAACAGTTCTTTGCAGAGTTTAAGGAAAATATCTCTGCAGCAAGAGCTTAACTCCTGACGACAACAAGTCCTTCTTAGGAAGAAAAACAGGCGGCTGTTGGAAAAAAATATTACAGCTAAAAACCCTGAAGCCCTCTTGAAAGCTAGACAGGCAAAACATCATTATGCAGCAGCATAACAATATAGAGGAGCTAAAAACTATTTCAAAGAAATACACAAATATCGTTTCATAGTCAGTTTCTGCTCAAAATCTCAATATAATATGCATGAATGCAACAAACTATTATAAAGAATTATTTAGAGAGACTGCGAACCACATACAATAAAGTAATAATCACAACAAACCCAGAATCCGGGTGCTTCTTTACAATTCTCATTCTCGTTTATAAGACCTGCTAAAAGCAATAACAGCACTGCTGACAGCTCATAGTTCACTCTACCAAATAGTATAAAACTTGAAAGTATATATACAGGACAGAATGATTTTTAAAAAAATTTCAGAACCTAATGTGAAAAATGACACAAGCCTGTCCTCTTATCTGCCAATTAATGAAAAAAGCTTCCTGAACATAGTGGCACTAGACTAACTAGGCAGGTGGACACTATTTCTGGCTTTTCAACTCAACATTGCATTAGTTTTTTAAACAGGAGAACATGCATGTATAGTATGTGTTATTTAGCAGAAAACACAAAACTGACTGTGGAAAGGAACACATCCTGGCACTTTTCTCCAATACTGTCCCTACCTCTATGAACACTCGTCCACAGCACAGTAAAAGATCGCAATCGGGTTGATCAAGTATGTCATATTCCCAACTCACTGCATGATTGCCAAGTCCCATAACTGCAACAGTCCCCAGCACTACTGTATGCTTAACTGATGTGCAAGAAAAACATTCACATAATTTGGGTAGGTCTAGCTAAACGGCTTTTAATAACAAGTGTCTTACAGTCGTTCCCATCTCCTGAAGCATCCTGTAGCTACAGGACAGCTACCAGGCGAACTATTCCCTGAATTCACTTTTGAAAGAATGCCAAGGTTCAAACTTTTTGTTAAAATTAGCACAGACATACACTGCAGCGTTGCGCTATGCACTAGAAGTTAAAGGTCTTTTAAGACTGTCTGGAAGAAATGAAGATCTATAAGCACCCAGGACAGTATGAAAGATGGCAACTCCAGCACTGCCCTGGGCAGCCTGTCCCAGTGCTTGACAACCCTTTGGGTGAAGAAATTTTTCCTAATATTCAATCTAAACCTCCCCTGGTGTAACTTGAGGCCCTTTCCTTTTGCCCTATCGCCTGTTCCTTGGGAGAAGAGATCTACCCCCACCTCTCTACATACTTCTTCAAAAAGAAATGTTCTTCATTTTTTAACAGAAACTAAGTGATATGTTCTCATCCAGGCTGGATGTGGCCTTGGGCAACCTGGTCTAGTGGGAGGTGTCCCTGCCTATGGCAGGGGATTGGAACTCAATGATCTTCAAGGTCCCTTCCAACCTAAACCACTCTATGATTCTATGATTCTGACCCTTTTGCTAATATACAAAGTCAACTTTATGACCTAGGTAAGATGTTCCAAGACTGTTACCAATAAAACATATGATGATACTAAGCTTCTGGACTAATAATAAGGACTTTTTAGATGCCTATCACATGATAAGTTAAGTCCAAAATGGGAGAGATCCACCTATCAGAAAAACAGCTCTTTTACTCAAGAATCTTTTAACACTTTTACAGGCTACAAAAGAAGAGCATTTCCTATATTCCATTATATTTCTTCAAACTGTAGAACAAGGGATTGTACTTCCTGCACAACACATCGAAATCCTGTATCTCTAGTACTTAATGCAGGCATTAATTAATTTCACTGATCTGTATAAAACTGTATTTTTAGAGCTTTGTTTCAAGTAATATAATGAAGATCCGCTACGACCTAGAAGACGACTTTTAATTTCTTCATTGTACAAAAATAGCTAGAAACCTGATTTCAATTTCTTTGTTTGCACTCCACTCTACTTTCTTACAAATTGTTTCAAAAAATGTAGCCTCTTCTGATGTTAATTGAGTGTTCACTTCTGCTTACTCTTTAAAAAGTTTTACTCTCCTGGGAAGTGATTTTTATATACAAACCATAGAAAGCTATATAGATTGTATGCTGGAGATGATTAAGAGAGGGCAGGGTTAAATGTATATCTAAAGAAAGCCACAGATGTCAGCCAAATTATTTCTATACATGAGCATGAGTTAGCATATGCATGCCATTAGGATCTTAAAGAAATTTACTATTTTTATATCTATGCTGATTGTAGTTCTGAAACTAAAGTAACTGCCACACTACAACGGGTTGGACAAGGTTCATTCACTGAACACAAGGATAATTTTTGAATATATGAAAACTTTCATCAAAATTGCTGGGTCTTATAAATGTAGCTCCATTCTCTTTCAGTCACTTTTATCCAAGATAGTACATTTGGGTTGTTTTTCCAGGCAAAACTATGACTGAGAAAATAAATGTACAAATAAAACTTTCCTTCAGCAACACTGACTATTCCTTTTCCCTAAAAAATTAGCGCACCAAAAAAACCCACCCAGCTACTTAGAATGATAAATGCCAGAGAACAAGCATTAAAAAAAAAAAAGCCATACAATGCACGTGATTCCAGAAACTTCCCAACAGAGTGAGCTAGTAACTGCTCTAACATCACTGAACAAAGACGAAAAAGTCACAGAAAGAGAACCTCTGGACAATTAGTACACATGGAAAACAGCTAATGCTTTCATAGGCATTCACGGTCCAAAACCAGCAGCCTTCTCTGAAGGCATAAAGTAATCACATAGATCAGGGCAATTTTGTTACTATGATGTAGCGGAACTTCCTAAAAAAACAAAACAAAACAAAACAAAACAAAACACCACCTCCTCAAGCTGCATTACCTAAACTTCACAGACATATTAGCACAAATGGAAAATCTACTCGGAAGCAGCAAAGAGAGATAACAGAGGCCAGAAACTGCAGATTTTCGTAATAGGAGAGACTACGAGTGTGGGTTGCAGAGAATTTCTGCTAATTAATCTGTAACTGTCTGGGAAAGGGGGCAAACAAGCGGAGCGGAAAGGGTGCCAGCCTACGGCCCACTTCTAACCCACGTCCCTGAGGACCATATCTATACGGCTTTTAAATACATCCAAGGGTGGCGAATTCCACCACTTCCCAGGGCAGCCTGGTCCAGTCTCTGATAACCTTTTCAGTGTAGCAGTTTTTCCTAATGTCTCACCTAAACCTCCCCTGGCGCAACTTGAGGTCATTTCCTCTTGTCCTATCAGCTGTAACTTGGGAGAAGAGACCGACCCCCCCTCACTACACCCTCCTTTCAGGGAGCTGTAGGGAGCGATCAGGTCCCCCCTCAGCCTCCTCTTCTTCAGGCTAAACAACCCCAAGTCCCTCATCTGCTCCTCACAAGACTTATTCTCAAGACCCTTCACCAGCTTCGTTGCCCTTCTCTGGACCCTCTCCAGCACCTCAATGTCCTCCTTATACTGCGGTGCCCAAAACTGATCAGAGTACTCACGGTGCGGCCTCACCGGTGCCGAGTACAGGGGGACAATCACTTCTGTAGTCCTGCTGGATACACTATTCCTGATGCAGGCCAGGATAGCTCAGAGTTATCAAGTTTGCATGAAAGTTTGTGTACAATGGCAGTCTATTTAATAAAGTTAGGACTTTGCAAAACTGAGTTTCTGGGAGACGAAAATTCGAATCACATGGTGAAAATTAGTTCCAGTACTCCTACACAATGATGGGCTATACTGTCAGTTTGAATTTGAAAATATTTTCTCAAAATATTTGCTTAAAAAAGTAAATGGTGTTCGAAGCTGCTAAAAGAAGAAAGAGTACGTAGAAACATGACAACAGACTTAAGACTCTGGATTAAGCCACTCTGCACTCACAGTTTTGATACTCTCTAGGTCAAATACACAAAAGAGAAAAAAAAAAGAGAGGATAATGTACAGTTCCAAGGACGTCCACATATGAAATGTCTTCCACATGAAGATGGACTTAAACACTCTACAGAATTCATAATGCCATAAAGGTCAAATCTATAAATGCGTTCAAAAATGGATTAGATGTGCTCACGGGCATGTAAGTGGCTAATAAACAGAGTAGGCCAGATATAACCACTGGCTCTGGAAGTCCTTTAAATACAGATTGATTTTTCAGAGATGTACATCTCCCATCTTCCAGTTTCCTATCCCTCCACAAGTATCTGCTATTGGCCACCAACAGGACACTGGGTTAGATGGATCTTTGCCCTCAGCCAAAAACATAACTTCTGTGAGCGTACCACCACGTGTCAGTCCAGTACAGAGGAAACGGGCACTACCAAAGGCTGTGTAATCTAATAGTGCAAGAGGGCATGCAGCACATGCGCCGTTCTTCATGAAGGGTACTTCAAACAGGTCTCATGCACCAAGACGAGCACCTCAATGCTTGCTTAACCAAATCAATTACTTTATCTACAATTAAAAGTAAAAACTACACTTGTGCCAAAAGCCTGTTGCCCTTCATGTCTTAGTTGTGCAACTAGAAGTCAAATTCTGTAGACTGATGTTGTAAATGCATTTACTAGGTGTGGAACTTCAGAATGAATGATTCTATTAAAGACAATTTTCTTTTATCTGTTTGCTAAAATCCATAGCGTTTTAGTTTATTCACAATCAACACGAAGCATCAATGGAGTTAGCTGCAAGCTACATCCATATCCCAATAGCAGAGCATTTACTTACTCCTGGTTCTACTTGAGTTCTATCTGCAATGTCAATATGAACAACTTCAACACTTCTCCATGTGTTTGGATCTAAATTGTGCACCTGCAAAAAGAGAAAAAGGAATGATTTGCATGCTGTCATCTTAACAGTGGTGCACCTTATGCAGTATGTATGCGTGCCACGGATTTTTTCTGGACTTCATAAAGACAGTGTTCTCAAAGCCTATCCTTTCTTCCTCTGCCTTTCTGAAAGGGAATAATCTCCAGTTACATTTTGATTCACTCACTAACAAATTTTAAAGCAGCACAAAGCCTTCAGTTTTTGTGCATTCAGGAAACCTGGATTTAAGATTAAGCCATATTCTTCTGTCACGTTCGTCAGTGCTAATGAAATCAAGCTCTAATTAGAAACATTACCCATTCAGTAACCTGTATGAGCTTTTTGAGACAGAAAGAAGCCGCACAAATTCTAAAGTGCAAATAAGGCAGGTTTCGATAACTTGACTACATCTAGTGGGTTCCCTGAATCATAGGGCTCCCTTTAACATGGACCAGATGAAGCGTGTGTGGTATGAAGGTACATAAAGGTCTGGAGATGTAATCAGCTTCACACCTGTAGTCTGTTAGGCATACCTAAACTTACAGTCGGAGGAAGCAGAGCTGTCCAAGAAATACCCTCCTCTGTAGCACATCCAGTTCTACAGGTCATGCATGCACTGAAAACATACTGACAACTATTCCTTTGTGGACGGTTTATAAATATGTTCGTCAGTACACATAAAAAAAATGTCCTAAAGAGACCCATGAACCAAATCAACTGTCTAGGGAGGAAAACAAGAGTATCACCGTCCTGGAAAACTCACAGAAGCAGCTTCAACACATAACTCTACAGAAGTGTACACAGATAAACTCCAATAGCCTTGTGACACCAAACTTGTCAGCCTAAGCAGGACTAGCATGTCTCAGGTAAAAGAACATGAAATTAAAAAGAACTTACTGAAAATCTATTTAAATATTTGAGTGAGAATCAAGCGTCTCCACTGACTTCCACATAAAAAATAAAAATATTTTCTTGTTCTTGCACCTCATCAGATTAGACAGCTTGACCACCTCGGAAGGATCTGAATAATGCTCTTCTTGTTTTACACTAATCACTGGTAGGGCTTCGACTTTATGCAGTAATTATCCACCATTACCAGGTATAGAATACTTTATCCGGATGACTATGTGTTGAAAATATTACTAATGCTTGGTATCCAAATCCCAACTCACGTTCTCTGATGTCCCCAAATCTGGTTTATGCCAGGTCTCAATTTTTATGAAGAAGTCATCTTTCATATATTCATTCTGTAAGAATTATAATCAAAAAGCATGAGTTTAATTACACCTTTTTGCTTAAGTTTAGATAAATGGTATTTACATGTAAGTCACTACTAAGCCTTGACTAACAATACATTCTATTTAAATTATAAAAGAAACAGCCCCCTTAACTACACACAGAAATAGGTACAATGAAATAACTAGCATCTAAATCTTACGTATCAGCTACAGCAGTAAGTATAAATTAAAACCAGTCATGTTTGAGAAATCCAACTCTAATGCTGTGCATACAAATAGAAATAATACCGTCATTGACTATCCTTCTTCCTCAACCCTGAAATTCTTTACCTCTATGTTCAAGTAATTTTCAAATTATTAATACTGCAGTTAGGACAAAACAACTAAAAACACGTGCATGAAATTTTTAATAAATGAGACTATTCTGAGAGGCAGGGGTAGTAGATAATAAACATTAGATGTTACTGTGTAGCACAATCATGACCATAAAGGTCCAGCTACTGCTAAATTGTATGTCTAAAGACCAGCACAGAACACTTCTCACTTCAGAAGTGAGACAGCACACACCAGTGCACGTGTGTCACGATGAGTCAAGCTGAACAGTCCACAAACTCATTTGTCACTCCTTATGTTGCAACCACCTAGTGACAATCTAAATCAAGTTTGAGTGAGCAGATAAAGCAATTCAACATTAAACTTACAAGCTTCCTTAAACAGGTCACCAAAATGTATACATGGGGAAATAAAGCCTTAATGATCTCTTTCCCACACATCTTAAATAAAAAACAAAAAACCCCAACCCCCCAGCTGTGATGATCCATTTGAATTCTTGTTTAACCCATTTTAACTGAGGCAGGATTTCACTTTACAGAAATGGGATTTCAGACAGTTAGGGGCTGATTTTATTTCATTGCTCTTCCTGCATTCAAGAGTGTAGAAACCTCTAATTTGGCTTTTTTTTTTCTTTTTTAGCATTATGTCTTACCAGGACAGGCACTATGCAGCTGTAACGGTAAGTAAAGGCATAAAAGAAGATGTAAAAAATGAAAGCATTTCTCTGATAAATTACAGTTCTTTCTAATGATAGCCAAGTCCAGACAAATTAAGTAACAAGGAGCCCTATGCCAGGAACCCTGGCAAGGCTTATATAAAAGGCTGGAGCTAGGTTGCTAGAGTCAGAGTCAACTGTAGCAGTAATAACAAACAAAATATATTTCAAAAACCCAACACAGGACTGATGGTAATTCAAATACTCACTGTCACAACTGGTCATTGGAAACACACGCAATGAAAATGAAAAGGAAACAGAAAGTGTTATTAGATACAATCGTTTCTGAAAAGTCTCACGTATGATTGCTTCACAGTATAGGAAACATTCGAAAGTAGTCTAACAGCATTTGTGTGCAAGTTAGCAGAGTTCAGCAGACTTTCACTTGCTAGCCTTAACCTTAGAAGTTTGTTATAAGATACTTCAAACTATCTAACAGAAACACAAAATAGAGCCTATTCTTAGAATCTTCAAACTATCTAACAGAAACACAAAAGAAATAGAGCCTATTCTTAGAACGTACACAATTAAAAGTATTAAAATAGAACAGACAACTTATTCTAAGAGCTTATGAAGAATTAAATTATTTTCAGAGGCTTTCTTTTAGATTTTGAGAGAATCACCTCTTCAGTCGTAAACTAGGGACACTGGATACTAAGGCTCTGTAGGAACCAGTAAATTGGTCTATTGAGGTTGCTCTTCAGAAGCTCTTCTTTTCAGGAGAGATCTCACAAGCATAACATTAAAATCTGAAATACATTTTCCACTTGATGGCACCCTCTTTTTTGCTAAACCATTTAAGACCGTTCCTCGACTGAACACTGACAGTAAAACACACAACGGGAGACCTACTTGTTCTACAGTAGGGATATGCGTTCCAAGCCTTCTCATGGAAGACCAGGGAGCCTTCTGGAGCAAACATCCGTACAAAACCAGGAACTTTACTGTGAAAAACAAACATTGACAACATTGTAAAAATTTCTGCCACCTAAAATTCCTCATTGATTTCTTCCACTTTAATAAGAAAGGCACATTCTACCTAAGCACTTTAAAGGTTATGATGTACAAGTTATCCACAGTTAAATATGCAGGAACTCCAACAATGTTACTGATCACAAAATAGTTAAGAAAAAATACGGACAGTGACAGTAAGATAATTGAAAGTGAGCTAGAAATAATTTTGGAAGCACTATGACCCTGATGAAAGCTGTGCCTTCTTTTCTCTTCAAGCACAGCAAAGACAACTGTCGAGGGAGAGCGCTGCCCAAGAGATCTCACCTCCAAACTCTAACAAAACTGCAAGTTCATCAGTGAGCAAGCCTGTAACTTGGCTGCCTGCAGCCCAGACGGAACGCCACGCAGCTATTGCAACCACGCCTGAAGAGGAAAACTGCAGCTCACCACAAGCAGCAGTATTACCATCGCTGATAGCAACTGCCCTCTCCAGTCCAATGGAGTGCCCACGACAGCTGCCAAAAACTGGACGCTTGGGAAAAAAAGTAAAAAGCTCTGGTACCAGAGAAATTTGGTAATGCCTAGGAGAACACTTGAGGCTGGTGCCCTTAAGTAGGTGAGTTTAAACAAACTACATGTACACATGTGCGTAAGGGACAGACAGAGTTCAATCTATGTAAATGTTCCATCCTCAGTTTTTCTCCAAGGATGGTGAATAAGCTCCTGTCCTTTTTCCTTTTAGATTCAAGGAAAAAGCCAACTGACTATTCCTTTTTTACATTGCAAGAACCTTATGTCCCACTCATCTGGGACTTCTCTTTGTCCAGAATAACCAAAGACAACTCTTTCAGCTCTTCCACGCGAGTCACACTGCGCACACTTCTTTCTACGCTCTACTTTCTCTCCAGTTTGCACACATGTGAAAGGCCAATGCCCAAAGCCAACCAAAAGGTATGAGGATGCATACCTTGTGTGCAACAATCCGATATAACACAGCCTGAAGAAAGTTTGCCTTCGTGTTTACTTTCACATAGCCAAGACACTAAACACTCAGACACTTTTGAACAGTACTGCTGTACAGCATTTATTTCCCACATCATCTCTGTGCCTCCCCACAGGAAGTCAACTGTAAATGTATTCAGTCTTCAGCTTTTTAGATCTTTTTTCCTCCAATTATAAACATTTGGAATACGAATCCTCACAACTTGACAACATATCTGGTTGCCCCGAGAAGCTGTGGCTGCCCCATCCCTGGAGGTGTTCAAGGCCAGGTTGGACGGGGCTTGGAGCAACCTGGGCTGGGGGGAGGTGGCCCTGCCCAGGGCAGGGGGTGGCACTGCGTGATCGTCAAGGTCCCTTCCGACTCAAACCATTCGATGATTCTATGGTTACAAATTCTAACAATACAGCTGCCTTTACAGTACTGCAGCCCTCTGGAGTAACACTGCCTGTTAATCCCTAGAGGTCCAGACACCATCTGGGTCAGTTGTCCATATAACCCAGGTTTTACCCACTCTGAAATGCATTTAACTTCCGAAAATATTCTTTACCTTACTCGTTCCCTCTCAGAAAAACATGACCCTGCCACACCACAAGAACTGTTCTGATGCCTTATAGACCGTTTTTAAATAGCGTTCGGGCAATAAGAGCTCTTTCTTAAATACCAGATCATATATAAATATTCTTCCTTTATAATGCAATAACCATTCTGCTTTTCTCTGTGCTTCTATATCAACATCCCTGTCCTTTGGGCTATGCTACAAAGCATCTGTGATACCAACCCATCATTTCGGCTATATACTAAGAATTCAAATTATTTCTACTTAAGAGATGCATTTGCCTATTCACAGATGGGACATTTTGCATGGTTCTCCATTACTCTATCCCACATATTTAAAATCCACTGTATTTCACATGTTTTTGCACTCACCAGAGCATTCATGCACAATTCAGGAAATTAAAGAGTGGCAGAAAAACACAAGTACCCCAGAAGAGTAAACAATGGAAGGCTGCCCTTGCTTTTAAACATTTCTTGCTCAACACCAAGTGACCATAATATGTATCAATGTTTTTCTCACCTCTTTAAATGATAGATTTTATGCGTATATTGTCCCTTCTCACCATCCTTTTCATAAGGCTCATTTTTTAAGACTTGAATTCCTTCACCACCTCCTGTTTCATTTTTGCTAGCTTCTGCCACAGAATAAAGTTGCCCAACTTGATACTGAAAAGTTAAGAGAATAAAATTTCAATATTAGTGTTAGCCAAAACTTTTAAAGCATAACAAATTTGGCTGTTTCCAGTGAAAATTTGGTAGTACAGACAAAATTATCAGGAAAGTAAAATACACCATATAAAAACACTTAGTAAATATGACAACCTGCTGGCAAAATTTATTTGTAGTTCACAAACACAGATAATGAGGTTGTTCCACCTTAATGCAACACTTTTGTATAGCATACTAAACATGTTATTCTTCTTTTTTCCCATCCTAAAAGCAAAGTATGTATGTTGTTCTTAATTGTATAAAAGAAATATAATTTTTAGTTTACAGACTTTGAAATGATTGATTTCCAGTCCTGAGCCACCCAAATTCATACTTTTAATCAACTAGATACCGCCCTGACAGGACCCATAAAATACAAATTGTAGAAGAAACTGTAACATTTTCCCTCAGAAGTATGTTCAGACATCTTATTGTGACTTTCATTTAAAAGTATCTCAGTGACATTTAAATTGCTGGCTTCAAATCTTGGACAGTGACTCCTACCTTTCCCTTTAGGAAACGGCTTGGAGCCACTCAACACCTTGATCAGCAAGGAAAATTCTGCTGTAGTGCAGAACTGCACGACTTTCTTTCCTTGTTTGTAAGCTGTGGAGTGGCTCAGAAACACGGAAAGGTTCTTTGCCTGCAGGCATCTGCTTCCTTTGAAATCCACTGATCCGCAAGAGGTTAACTCTGCTTAACTGGTGGCTTACACATGTGGAAACGTGTGGCGGACTGGTGGGTGCACAGCACAGGAAACATTTGGATCCAGGCTAGTCAGGTTTAAATAAAACACTATCATCTTCCCTCCCATCACCCCAAACCAAAAGCAGGTAGGATGAGGACATACCTCTTGCACTGAGCAAGGTAAAACCACTCGGCTGAAAGAGGAAAAGAGCAAATTCAACAAAATGAATAATTAGGCTTCATCTGCAGATAACAGATACAAACTGTAACAAAGACATTCAAGAAGGAAGTGTCAAAATGAGCTAATTCAAGTTTTCTTTTTAGAAATGCTCTGTGACAGTAAGGCTACATGGATATAATGCAACAAACCCAAGTAAAATTCAATAGCAGACATGTTACAAAAGGAAAAAAAAGGTGTTATGAATGTTAGAAGCTGCAGACAAGAGCCAGGAAATCTAGGATCTATTTCCAGCTCTGCCATAACTTTGTATTGGGCTGAATTTGTTTAAACTTTGAGGCATGAGCTTTTTTCATGTGTTACACAGTGCGTAGTCTTGCCTGGATAATTTCAAAGGACAAATGTGCAGGCCCTCACAGCTGAAAAATGAATTTTGGCAATTACAGCAGTTATGAGTCATTTAAAAAGTGACCACAGCTCATATCCCGTTTAGGTGGCAGAAGCAAGTGCGTTTTAGGCAAACAGTTTTGTTCTAACACAATACACTGTACAGTAAACAGCAATGACAGGGGATGCAGAAGTTGATTTTTCACAGCAACAGTACACTGTACAGACAGTGTTTTTCAGTTTCACCTTCCACAATAAAATGGACAAAGACAATGTAAATCTTTATTGTTGCAAAAAACCTTCATAGAACAACTGCATTGTTCCTAGGGCTTCTAAGTGATGTCACCTCCTTTACTGACAATCTTATGGCTGTTAAGATTCAATGCAACACAATCATCTTGAAAGCACAAATATAAATTAAGCCTGTCCACTGTTCTAGAGAGGAGGAAAGTTATAGTTCACTGATTCAACTCTTCCTACCCCCTGCTGCGCCCGCACTTTGTGAACAGTGAGTCTCATATGCTTCTGTTTAGGTACTACCATGAAAATGACTCCAGCAGCTTGAGTGCCCTGCGCTCTCCCCACACAGCAGAATACGCAGCAACCTTGAGAAGACAGAAATGATCATCCCTGAGGATCAAATTCAGTCTTGCAATTTCCATGGAACTACTTCTTTATCCCTTACCAGATAAAGATTTTTCTATTTTAGTCTACTACGTTTCTCACTGAAATAAGTTTTATTTAAACTGTGAAACTTTCAGAGAGAAACTTACAAAAACATGGTCAGCCTCAAATGTTGGCAAGTGTCAGGCTGAAAGCAGAGCTTGCATCCAAACAAAGAATGGCCAAATGACAATCAAAACAAAATTCTCATAAGGAGCCCTATTATATCGCATTTCACTTGATAAAAAGCTAAGTCCTTAAACCTATTTTGAAAACTATCTAGCAAGACCAATAGAGACAGAAGACACCTGTCTTGGCATTAGCAGATACCGACTCAGTACCTAGAGAGGACATATTTGTGGCCTGCAAGGCAGTATAGGAGACTTTGGGACAACTTCAGCTTTAGTCCTTAACAGGACAATATGTAAAATAGGAGTATAATCACGAAAACACAGCAAATGTACAGGTACATGGAAAGGTGAGGAATTAAAAGGAAAGAAATGTAAGGAATAGGTTTTTTTGAACCCAAGGATGATGACGGACAAACAATGCAATAATTCAAGAGCTAAGTAGCAAAGAAATCTGATGAAAACTTAACAAAAAACTGACACAGCCCACCATTTTCTTGTAGGAAATGCAAGAAAGACATACAGCTTCTCCTACAAGGACTGGTTCAAGCTCTCACTAAAATGCAAGAAAGGCAGGACACTTGGTTCTGCGTGCTGCACTGTTGGATACAGCGCTGGTACCTCAGCCCTGTCAGTGTGCACCTACTTGCTGAAATTTAGGTAAATCTTTGAAATACCCTTGGAAGCCCATTTGGAACCTAACAAACACATTGGCTGCTATCTGTTATTTTACTCATCACCTTTACTACCACAGTCAAGGCTATGTATTACCAGACTTTGAAGTAATTTAAAGCCAAAGGGATGGGAGGGAGGACCAAACCAGCTGGTAGTTTGCTGGCAGAAGACCTTAAGCAAAAGATCTTCTCAAAAACACAGAGTTCCCAGAACCAGCAGAACAGATAACTACAGAGCCATGAAGGACAATGGCACCGCTTCTGGACTGTCACCACTGCCACTCGAGTTCCTTTCTAAGCTGGACGGGGTCCTGATTCAAAGGCACCGGAGATACCATAAACTCTGTCAGCTTTGCAGAGACACATCCACATCGCTGCCTTGGTAAAACATTAGCCCCAGGGGAATGAGTTTGAGAAACTCATTGTGCGGGGACACAACTCATTTGCTCCAGGGCAGGGATTAGCAGCCAGGATCACCTCGACTGCAAGCACACATTCAGGTGTGGGTAAGGCCGATGGTACAGTCGCTGGGTGTCAAGCAGCGACTTAAGGCTGGGGCAGGGGACATGGATGTGCACCAGCGCACGGAAACGGCAGAGAGGCACAAAGCAGACCCGCGCCCTGGGCCGGCAGCGCTCCCAGCCCGCCGCCGACCCG